TACCCTGACGGCCACAGTCTTACTAAGTTTAGCTTGGTCTGAGACCAGGTGACTTTTTACCAGGGTGATGGTGGCTCCTGAGTCACGTAGCCCCTGAACTGCTTTTCCCTCCAGATACGCGGTCTGCCTGTGATGCTGGCGGTTGTCTGCGTTAGCCTGGACGGGATCTGCCTCGTGCAGTACCTCCCACTGCTCTACGGTTGTGATGGGAACTGCTGAACCATACGGTGTGGCCACGATGTCCTGGCAGTGATGGGCTGCGGCGGCTCTCGGTGGTGGTGGTGGACCGGGTCGGATCCAGGTGGAACGGTCCCGCAGCTGGGGGCATTCCCTTTTATAATGTCCCCACTTCTGGCAGTGGTGGCAAGGGCCCGACGTGGGCTGGCGAAAACGTGGCTGTGTAGCGGGTGGTGGTGGTGGTGGCAGTGACCTTGGTAGAGCTGGCGTGTAGTTATTTCCCCCAAAGATTTTAAAAGGTACTTTTGGAGCTGCAGGTTTTTGCTGCCTGCGTGCATCCAGGTACTCGTCTGCCTTCCTGGCTGCTTCGGTAAGGGAGGTAGGGTTTCTGTCTCTTACCCACTCCTGTACCTCGCTGGTTACTCCTTCATAAAATTGCTCCAGCAGTACCATTTGCAATACATCCTCCATAGACTGTGCCTTGCTCGCTTGCACCCACCCCAAGACTGCTCGTTGTAGTCTGCATGCCCACTCAGCATGTGAGTCTTTCTCCACCTTCTTTAGATCCCTGAATCTCCGCCGGTATGCTTCTGGTGTTATAGCATACCTGGCCAATATAATTTCTTAAACTTTACTGTAATTTCTTATCTCTTCATTGGGTACAGTACGATATGCCTCAGCTGCCCTCCCAGTTAACCTTCCTGCCAAAATAGGTACCCAGTCCTCTGCGCTGATTCTATGCAGTGCACACAGTCTCTCGAAATCTTGCAGGAAAGCGTCTATATCTTCCTCTGCCTCCACATGTTTTAAAAGCCTGGTACGGTATTTTCGGCTTACCTTCATGTGGCATATTTACTGCAGAGCTGCGTTCTGGGGCCGCTGTTTGACTCCTCAGTATAAACTCCTGGACCTCCGTTATCGTTTTGGAAATAATCTCTGTTGGAGGGTGTTCCCCATAGAAAGACAGCCGAAATTGTACCTGCCTCTGGAACTCCCTTTGTTCCGGTGTTTCTCCCGAATTCCCCTGTTCGGGAACCGAATCGCCGTCCATTCGGTACTCAGCCATCAGTTCAGTGATAAGTGCCGCTTTTGTCTTATTGCTGGCTTGTATACCCTTTGCCTCCAGAAGGTCTTTTAGCGTGGAGCGTTTTAGTGTGGCAAAATCAATCTCCATCCGTACTCCATTTAGGCTTGTTCCTCTGTGAGTCTGGATCCCAGCGCTGCCAACCAATGTGGCGGAGATGCAATATTACCCAGGTTATCTCCGCTTATAATCCAAGTGAGACTCAGGAACAAGTAAATAGTAAATCCAAAGGCAGGGTTTCCAGCAGGTAAAATACGGCAATATCCCAACAGCAATCCCAATAACTGGACGACACACAGTTTCAGGAGCATAACTGACAAGCCTTTAATCGCAGTCTCCTTATAAAGCATGCTCCCATGCAAGGGAGGAACTTACAGTAATTATTACAGTAGCCAATCCTGTCCTGGTAACCTCCCACACATCCCCTCCCCTCAGCCAGCATCATAATCCCCTTAGCCAGCACACCAATTCCCCCCCATTTCTGGATGTACCCCTAAACGTAGGGGTACCCCTTTAAATCATACATCCCCGGGTAGCCCTGATCTGGGTGAACAACATATCCAAAAATCACCCAGATCGGACCAGGGGTTCGGGAAAAGTATGGAGGGAATAAAATGACCGACCGTACGAACAGAGCTAGCCGAATTCGGTTCCATGTGAATGGGCCTTGCGGTCGGTCCTGGCATAAGGGAATAAAATACACGAAAGCCTCTAGCTATAGAGGCTAGGGGGGGTTCGCCTGAATCCCCTCGTTCGGTATTCTCTATTTACCGAGCGAGGGGCCGTTCGGTAGTTTGGAACCGAACGGACCAGGGCTGTGGAGGTCTCAGCGGTGTTCGCCTACTCGAGTGTCCGATTTTAGTTCCAGGCACTCGACGGCAAAACACCGCTGTTCGGGAGTTTTAAAATGGCCGCCGCCACGTGTTTGTTTGTCGAATGGCGGCCACCCCGAAGAACAAAGGACGGCTACTTACTGTTCAATTACCCGTTCGCAACAATGTTGCAACGGGTAATTGAGGACACACTTCACACAGGGAGGTCTGGTTGTTCGGTAGTTTCATTCGAATAAACTAAGGGAATGAAACTACCGAACAATCAGAGGAATACAATTCTTTTTCAATACACAGAGAATACAGCAGATACACGGATGCAGCTTTATACAGTATTTTTGTAGGGTCGCCTGGTGCAATCCGCTACAACGACGCAGGTTCATTCAGAGATCCCATGGATAGGAAAATGGATCTGAACCTCACCAAAGCTTACGTGGCTGCAGGCACAGGCCTCCATCCAGCAGTCGCTCTTACCTCAGTTTCCAGAGCTTTAAAGATCTGGATGGAAAATCTAGAGGCAGACATCCAAAGAGGCAGGAGCAGATCCAGTCTTCTAGAAAGCCTAAAAGATATAAAGCTTGCAGTAGACTTTACGTCTGACGCTTCGGTGGATCTGGTTAAAGCCTTTGCCAGAAATATGGCCCTCTCCGTTTCAGCCAGAAGGGCTCTATGGTTAAGGTCCTGGATAGCAGATACCTCTTCTAAATCTAGTTTATGTGCCTTACCTTTCCACGGCGACATGTTGTTTGGGAAAAACTTGGATGAATGTATTAAAAGAGCAGCTGAAGGCAAAAGAGCTTTTCTCCCGCAGGATCGTAAACCCAGAGGTTCCTTTCGATCCAAAAGATATCCAGACTATTTTTCCTTTCGAGATGCCAGATCTTACAAACCAGGAAGAGAGCATGGTAGATCCCAGCCTTGGAGAGGTGGACAGTCATCCAGAGGCGGTAAATCTAGAGGCACCTCATTCCACAAGAACCCCAGATCTTTATGACTGGTTTCCCCCCCAGTCAGTAGGTGTGGGGGCACGTCTGTTGCTCTTCCAAGACGTATGGGAATTATCCACCACAGACAGATGGGTGTTGGATATCATAAGAAGGGGATATCGTTTAGAATTTTTCAGAACCCCTCCAGCTTACTCCTTTCAAACTACCAAATGGCCAGGAGACGCAGCAAAAAGACAGGCCTTGAAAGATTTCATCTCGACGCTCCAGGAAGGAAATGTCATCATTCCAGTTCCTCAGCAACAACAAGGTCAAGGGTTTTACTCTCACCTGTTTCTCACCAGAAAAGCTTCAGGTGGTTGGAGACCTATCTTAGACTTAAGCAGGCTGAATCGGCATCTCCTCATCCGAAAATTCAAGATGGAATCTATTCAATCCATCATAAAGTCGTCTTTCCACTCCAATGGATGATTTCTATAGACTTGGCAGACGCTTATTTCCACATCCCCATCGCTCCAGAACATCAGAAATTCCTTCAGTTTGCGGTGGAACAAGGGCATTTTCAATTCCGAGCCCTGCCATTTGGTCTCAGCACAGCTCCAAGAACATTCTCCAAGGTCTTGGTTGTTTTGATTGCGGAACTCAGGAAAAAGGGCATAGCCATTTACCATTACTTAGACGACATCCTCATCTTGGCAGAAGACACAGATACTCTTCAGACCCATGGACAGGTTTGTCTACGTTTTCTACGCCGTCATGGTTGGAAGATAAACGAGAACAAGAGCCAATTACAGCCGGTTCAGGAGATGAAATATTTGGGGGCCATATTCAACACTCTAGCAGGCACAGTGCAACTGTCTCCAGAAAGAGGTACGAAGTTGATGTACAAAGTCAAAGACATGTTGGCATCCAATGTGACCTCAGCAGAAAGATGCATGAGCCTATTGGGATCAATGTCCTCCACCATCGGGCTGACAAGATGGGCCCAGTGGAGGATGAGGATTTTCCAGAAGAACTTCATCCTATCAAGTCCACTTCAGCCTATCAAGATACCCCCTCAGGTCCATCAATCCCTGATTTGGTGGTTACAGAAGAAATCCCTGTTCAGAGGGTTTCCATTGGGGAACATCACATGGACAGTTATTACCACGGACGCAAGCCAGTGGGGATGGGGTGCCCACCTACAAGATCAGTTTATCCAAGGGAAATGGTCCTTTCCAGTAACAGAGACTCCCTCCAACCAATTAGAGCTTCTGGCAGTTCTAAAGGCTCTAGAGAATTTCCTTCCCCTCATACGCTTCAAGTGGATCAAGATCAGATCAGACAATTCCACTGTAGTTGCCTACATCAACCATCAAGGGGGAACAAGGAGTCGGAAAATGATGTCCATCATGAAGCCCCTAATGTCCTTCTCCCAGAAGCATCTTGCGGGCCTATCAGCGATCCATCTTCCGGGAGTCCAGAATTCCATAGCGGATTACCTGAGCAGAGTGGAATTAGATCCAGGAGAATGGAGTCTGTCAAACAAGATGTTCGAAGACATTTCTCAAGTATGGGGCATGCCACAAGTCGACCTTATGGCAACGCACAAGAACAGGAAGGTGCAGCACTTCTTTCAAAAAGCATCGATCCCCAAGCATCAGGAAGGGATGCTCTTTCAATCGATTGGGATTTTCACCTAGGCTACGCATTTCCTCCTACGCCCCTCATCTTTCATCTTCTGAGACGATTGAGGCAGGAGAAGGTATCCATCATCCTCATAGCCCCTTTTTGGCCTCGCAGGCCGTGGTTTCCTCTGTTGTTGAGCCTCTGCAGCGCAGACCCCTGGCAGCTTCCAAATATTCCGTCCCTTCTACATCAGGGTCCTGTCCTCCATCCAGACCCTGCCTCCCTCAAGCTGATGGCATGGAAATTGAAAGGGAAAGGTTGAACTGCAAGGGATTTTCCCATTCTGTCATTGAAACTCTACTGCAAGCAAGGAAACGCTCTACATCTTCCACTTACTACAGAATCTGGGACGTTTTTTCCTCCTGGGCTGCATCCAACCACAGGAATATTCAGTCTATCTCCACCAAGGAGATCCTTGAATTTCTACAATCCGGTCTTGATAAGGGTCTTAGCTACAATACCCTAAAGGTACATATTTCAGCTCTTTCGGCCCTTACGGACCAGAGATGGGCCTTAAACTCAGATGTGATCAGATTTATGGCAGCAGTTTTGAAAATCAAGCCTCCTATCAAGCCCTTCGCTCCACCATGGGATCTTCCCTTGGTATTAAAGGCTCTGAGCAATTCTCCTTTTGAACCTCTTGAATCCATCTCTCCTCAGGTACTCACCATTAAGACGGTTCTATTGGTGGCCTTAGCCTCAGGTAGACGAGTGTCTGAACTCCATGCCTTATCTACGAAAGAGCCCTTTACAGTTTTTCATAAGGACAGAGTTGTTTTGCGAACTGTTCCCGAATTTCGTCCTAAAGTGGTGTCGGCTTTTCACATCAACGAAGATATAATACTCCCGGCTCTTCATTCAGAGTCTTCTACTGAGAATGATGAATCTCTGCCTTCTCCATTGGATCTTGTTCGATGTCTGTCTGTCTATCTACAAAGATCTTCAGCCTGGCGGATCTCTCAAAGGCTATTCGTTATCCCCAACGGCCCCAGAAGAGGCCTTCAGGCTTCTAAGATGGCCATCAGTAGATGGATTGTTGCCGCCATCGTTCAGGCTTACCAAGCCTCAAAGATGAAGGTTCCGGAGGGGCTCAAGGCTCACTCCACGAGGTCCCTTTCCTCATCCTGGGCAGCAGCTGCTAATTTGTCACCCGAGCTGATTTGCAAAGCAGCCACTTGGTCTTCTCCAAACACGTTTATTAAGCATTACCAGATTGACGTTAAAGCCAGCCAATCAGACTCTTTTGGCAAATCAGTCTTATCCGCAGTCAACTCTTCTTGATTAATTTCTATTGCACGTGTGATTTCTAATACACCAGCATTTAAAATGTTCTTGAGTCTGTGTTTCTTTATTCCCTCCCTTGGTTATTGCTTGGGTATTACCCATTGTTGTGCTGCCATGGATATGGCCAGGAAAGATGAAAATTTATCCATACTTACCGTAATTTTCCTTTCCTGGTCATAGGCCATGGCAGCACTTAGATCCCGCCCTGGGATATTGCTGTTAACAAGACTAAGGGACCATTGGTGGGAGGGGGTATTTATACCCCTGATTTTAATTCTGTTCCTGTCTAATTAGGGATAGGGAGGAGCTAACCCATTGTTGTGCTGCCATGGCCTATGACCAGGAAAGGAAAATTACGGTAAGTATGGATAAATTTTCATCTATCTAATCATGATAGGTTTCATTTTGGTTTTAATTATCCTAATACAACATAATTAATGTGGGTGTGTTTTGGTGGCGTTGTTTTGGGGGACCCAGGCAGAAAAATGTCTTGGGCTGGCCCTGGTATCTGTGTATGTCATTGTATCTGTATGCATATGAGTGTGTGTATATCTGTATGTCTGTTTATCTGTGTGTGTGTATCTGTATATCTGTGTATTTGTGTGTGTATCCGTTTATCTGCATGTGTGTCAGTATGTGTGTCTGTGTATCTACATGTGTATCTGTGTCTATGATTGTATCTGTGTGTCTATGTATCTGCATGTGTGGCAATGTGTGTGTCTGTACATCTGTATGTGTGTCAATGTTTATATCTGTATCTGTATGCCTGTCTGTATCTGTTTGTATATGTGTGGCAGTGTTTGTATCTGTGTATCTGCATGTGTGGCAGTGTGTTTATTAGCACGTCTGTTCAACTGTATGTATATTAGTGTTGTCATCTGTTTGTCTGCATGTGTGGCAGTGTTTGTACCTGTGTGTCTTTACATTTGTATATGTGTTAGTGTGTCTATACGTATGTCCTTGCAACTGTATGTATATCAGTGTGTGTACCTGCATGTATGCCACTGTATGTGTCAGTTTTTGCCTGTCTGTACATAATGTGTCAGTCTGTGTGTCTGTATCTATGTGTGTCAGTGTTTTTTCTGTGGATATGTGCATGTGTGTCATTGTGTCTGTGCAACTGTATGTGTGTCTTTTCATTTGCATGTGTATCTCAGTGCTTGTATCTGTGTCTATGTATCTGAATGTGTGTCAGTGTGTTTATCCATATTATGTATCTGTATGAGTGTGTCATTGTTTGTATCTGTGTGTCTGTGTCAGAATTTGTATCTGTGTATCTGCACGTGTGTCAGTCTGTGTGTTTGTGTATTCACATGTGTGTATCTGTGCTGTGAGGAGACTGGAACAGAGAAAAAGGTGAGATGGGACAAAGAAAAGCATGTACATTTGAAATCTGCAATTAGAATATTTACAAATATTTTGCTAATATAAGGGGTACTATTTATGTATATGGGCTACCAAGGGGTACTCAAGAAAAAAAAGGTTGGGAACCACTGGTCTATAGGATGGCAATAAGTACTTTGTGATGTGCAAAACCTCCTATATGGTCTACTTATGAAAATGCCCCTGAAAACTTATTTAATTAGGACAAACATTGTGAAAATCAAAGAGAGATTTTCCAAACTAGAATACATTATGCTTACTGGTCTTATTAAGTTAACGATTCCAGACAATTTTCAATATCTCTCAAGTTAAATTTCAGATTAAAAGGACACATCCCTGAGATAATTAGAAGGGGGAATAGAAGAGAGGGGGATGTCCAGAGAAGAGAGTTGTCAAGAGAAGAATTTTGGAATAGGAACAAGATACATTGAGCCCGACAGGATTAAATCAAGATTACAATCTATCACCATTAAAGGACCACTATAGTGCCAGGAAAACATACTTGTTTTCCTGGCACTATAGTGCCCTGAGGGTGCCCCCACCCTCAGGGTCCCCCTCCCGCCGGGTCCCCCTCCCGCCAGGCTGGATGGAGAGGAAGGGGTTAAACTTACCTCTTTCTCCAGCGCCGGGCAGGGAGCTCTCCTCCTCCTCTCCTCCCTCTTCTCCTCCTCTTCGGCTGAATGCGCATGCTTTCCTATGGACGCTGGCGTCTTCTCACTGTGATTTTCACAGTGAGAAGCACGCAAGCGCCTCTAGTGGCTGTCAAGAGACAGCCACTGGAGGCTGGATTAACCCTAACATAAACATAGCAGTTTCTCTGAAACTGCTATGTTTATTAAAAAAAAAAGGCTTAACCCTAGCTGGACCTGGCACCCACACCACCTCATTAAGCTGAAGTGGTCTGGGTGCCTATAGTGGTCATTTAATATGAGTATGATATATTTTAATTGGGTCAATTCATACAACATACAAGATCCAGCACACTCATTCATTCACTAGACATCAATTTCAAGGCTTACAGAATGTAGGAGTCACCTGTGCAAATAATAATGGGGTTTAGTTACAGTATATTATCATGCAATTATCTCTTCTTTTTAACAGAACTTTTGCACTTCATTACGTTTAACTTTAACATTTAAAGTTTACATTTTAACATTTACATTTTTTTTATGCACTTTAATTGAATGACATATCCTGAGTGTCACTATTGTCACTCTATTAATGTTATTGTCTAAGACCCAATAGAGATCAGTTTTATGGGCATTTTGTTGTGATTATTATTAATCATAATGAAATGGATTATCACTCCTGTCACTTTTTATTACTATTCTGGATTGTCACTAATAGTATGGATTGTCACTTCTAGCACTTGCCTAAGACACAATAAGGATTTGGGTTATGGACATTTTATTTATGAATATTTTTACAATTATGTATTGTTATTATTAAGGTTTGTAATACGGTATATTTATGTACTTTTGTTTTATGTATATAAATGTTTTGCAGATTAGCCTTCTACTTTGGGGTTCTTGATCATTTTTCCTGTATTTTGTTTATTATAATACCACTCGGTTTATTCTTATACCGCTATGACTTTTGGGTCTACCATTTCTGCTTCTGGTCTCCATGGCAGCAAACTGCGTCATTAGGTGTTTTACATCATGATGTTATTCGGCACTTATGGGTATTGTTGTTCTAGGAGGGATAAGCCAAATGACAAATGATTTAGATAAACTAGCAAAATGGTCAGAGAGTTGTGGCAACTGACATGTAATGTGGATAAGTGCAAGATAGTGCATCTTTGATGTAAAAACCCAAGGGCAGAGTATAGAATATTTGAAAGAGTCCTAATCTCAACATCTGGAGGTAAGGGATTTAGGGGTGATTATTTCTGATGACTTAAAGGTAGGCAGACAATGTAACAGAGCAGCAGGAAATGCTATCAGAATGCTTGGTTGTATAGGGAGAGATATTAGCAGTTGAAAGAGGGAAGTGCTCATGCCATTGTACCGAACACTGGTGAGACCTCACTTGGAGTATTGTACTTTGTTGCAAAACACAGGTTAAGTTGTGTCGAAACCAACATACTGGTAGGTCTGTAAAATAAGGTGGGCCCACCTAAGAAGTTAGTTCAGAAGTGTTCTGAAAATTGGAGGTGGAGGGTGGGATATGTGTTGCGCCGATCAACATATGAGTACTGGCTAGAGGAGCTGAGCACCTTAAATAGCTGAAACTAGTCCGTCCTACAACTCCAGGCAACCGCCTTTATATTTGTGGTCAGGACACAAAAGGCCATAGGTTTTAAGAAATAAACATAACTTAATAAACGTAACATAGGGAATATACGTAAGTAGGTTGAGATGTGCCAAAACCGATGTACCAGTAGGCCTGTAAAAAAAAGATGGCAAAAATGTAATGCAAAATACGTGATTTGTTAAATCAACAAGACACAACAAAAGGCAATTATTCCATTAAAACTTAGAAAGCGTGGGTTCTTTGGCTGGTGGGGGAATATAGTGTCAGTCTGATGAATAGTTTCCTAATAATATGGACTGGTATGTTTTTATTGGAAACATTGAATGCAGCCACTATCTGGAATAAGTGTCCCAAATAAAGTGTCGGATCAGACTAACCTAATCAGCAAAATTCTGTAATACAGCATACATTTCATCGTAGCTGGAATAGAGCCATGAAGTAAAATGGGGCCAAGCATGGATGTCATTACAATTATGCGACCCCCCGTCCCCCAAAAAAATTCCTGCAGACGCCCATGGCCATAGGGATGCATGGATAGGGAGGAGTTCGAATGCATGTACAATATCTGTCTTGCTTAACCATGCACCAATTCCAGCTAAAATGAT